CAAATTTCCAAATTCGGACTCGAACATAGTCAAAATTGGATTCCAAAAGAGATCATGAAAATGCGTGCTACAGTACGAGCACACGAATGCGAATCAATAAACGTGCACAAAAACACTCGGGACAAAATATACGCACATAAGTAATAGTACAAAAGCACGCACAAAAGTACTCACGCAAAAGTGCATTCGCAAAAAGGATTGTGAAAACACAAACTACAATCCTAGGACATTAATACATATACACAAACATACACGAACACACTCGCTCTCATGGAGATGCTCCAACGTACATGAAAAAAAATATGCGTTCAAGTGCATTCACAACAACCTTCTTAAAAATATGAAATACCTCACTAGGACTTTAATACGAATAAGCAAACAATAGCAAAAACACTAGATACAAAAGATACAGTGGAGTTTAGAAATAACACTCGACGTTTAAGTTTACGAAGATTAATTTATGGTTTAATTTATATTTTTGTTATAATTGGTGGATTTAGTATTCTATAGGTACAAATTGATAATTAAGTGTCAACAAAGCAAAAATGATCAAAGAGTAGGAAAAGAGTTGCAATTAGGAAAATAAAATCAAATTAGAAGACAGGATCCCTCAACATCTTCGGTAGTGTCCACAAAGTCGAGCATAACTTTCTCATCCGGACTCCAAATCAACTGGTTCCGGCGGCATTAGAAAGCTATTTTAGCTAGCTAGAGCTACAATCTAATGTCAAATTTCCAAATTCGGACTCGAACATAGTCAAAATTGGATTCCAAAAGAGATCATGAAATACGTGCTACAGTACGAGGACACGAATGCGAATCAATAAACGTGCACAAAAACACTCGCTACAAAATATACGCACATAAGTAATAGTACAAAAGCACGCACAAAATTACTCACGCAAAAGTGCATTCGCAAAAAGGATCGTGAAAACACAAACTACAATCCTAGGACATTAATACATATACACAAACACACTCGCTCAAATGGACATGCACAAATGTACATGTAAAAAAACATGCGCAAAAGTGCATTCGCAACAACCTTCTTAAAAACACGAAATACAACACTAGGACTTTAATACGAATAACCAAACAATAGCAAAAACACTAGATACAAAAGATACAGTGGAGTTTAGAAATAACACTCGACGTTTAAGTTTACGTGGATTATTTTATGGATTAATTTATATTTCTGCTATAATTGGTGGATTTAGTATTCTATAGGTACAAATTTATAATTAAGTGTCAACAAAGCAAAAGTGATCAAAGAGTAAGAAAAGAGTTGCAATTAGGAAAATCAAATCAAATTAGAAGAGAGGATCCCTCAACATCTTCTGTAGTGTCCACGAAGTCGAGCATAACTTTCTCATCCGGACTCCAAATCAACTGGTTCCGGCCGCATTAGAAAGCTATTTTAGCGAGCTACAATTCCTGTGTAATGTCAAATTTCCAAATTCAGACTCGAACATAGTCAAAATTGGATTCCAAAAGAGATCATGAAAATACGTGCTACAGTACGAGGACACGAATGCGAATCAATAAACATGCACAAAAACACTCGCTACAAAATATACGCACATAAGTAATAGTACAAAAGCACGCACAAAAGTACTCACACAAAAGTGCATTCGCAAAAAGGATCGTGAAAACACAAACTACAATCCTAGGACATTAATACATATACACAAACATGCACAAACACACTCGCTCAAATGGACATGCACAAATGTACATGTAAAAAAACATGCGCAAAAGTGCATTCGCAACAACCTTCTTAAAAACACGAAATACAACACTAGGACTTTAATACGAATAACCAAACAATAGCAAAAACACTAGATACAAAAGATACATGGGAGTTTAGAAATAACACTCGACGTTTAAGTTTACGTGGATTATTTTATGGATTAATTTATATTTCTGTTATAATTGGTGGATTTAGTATTCTATAGGTACAAATTGATAATTAAGTGTCAACAAAGCAAAAGTGATCAAAGAGTAAGAAAAGAGTTGCAATTAGGAAAATCAAATCAAATTAGAAAAGAGGATCCCTCAACATCTTCTGTAGTGTCCACGAAGTCGAGCATAACTTTCTCATCCGGACTCCAAATCAACTGGTTCCGGCGGCATTAGAAAGCTTTTTTAGCGAGCTACAATTCCTGTCTAATGTCAAATTTCCAAATTCGGACTCGAACATAGTCAAAATTGGATTCCAAAAGAGATCATGAAAATACGTGCTACAGTACGAGGACACGAATGCGAATCAATAAACGTGCACAAAAACACTCGCTACAAAATATACGCACATAAGTAATAGTACAAAAGCAAGCACAAAAGTACTCACGCAAAAGTGCATTCGCAAAAAGGATCGTGAAAACACAAACTACAATCCTAGGACCTTAATACATATACACAAACATGCACAAACACACTCGCTCAAATGGACATGCACAAATGTACATGTAAAAAAACATGCGCAAAAGTGCATTCGCAACAACCTTCTTAAAAACACGAAATACAACACTAGGACTTTAATACGAATAACCAAACAATAGCAAAAACACTAGATACAAAAGATACAGTGGAGTTTAGAAATAACACTCGACGTTTAAGTTTACGTGGATTATTTTATGGATTAATTTATGTTTCTGTTATAATTGGTGGATTTAGTATTCTATGCGTACAAATTGATAATAAAGTGTCAACAAAGCAAAAGTGATCAAAGAGTAAGAAAAGAGTTGCAATTAGGAAAATCGAATCAAATTAGAAGAGAGGATCCCTCAACATCTTCCGTAGTGTCCACGAAGTCGAGCATAACTTTCTCATCCGGACTCCAAATCAACTGGTTCCGACGGCATTGGAAAGCTATTTTAGCGAGCTACAATTCCTGTCTAATGTCAAATTTCCAAATTCGGACTCGAACATAGTCAAAATTGGATTCCAAAAGAGATCATGAAAATACGTGCTACAGTACGAGGACACGAATGCGAATCAATAAACGTGCACAAAAACACTCGCTACAAAATATACGCACATAAGTAATAGTACAAAAGCACGCACAAAAGTACTCACGCAAAAGTGCATTCGCAAAAAGGATCGTGAAAACACAAACTACAATCCTAGGACATTAATACATATACACAAACATGCACAAACACACTCGCTCAAATGGACATGCACAAATGTACATGTAAAAAAACATGCGCAAAATTGCATTCGCAACAACCTTCTTAAAAACACGAAATACAACACTAGGACTTTAATACGAATAACCAAACAATAGCAAAAACACTAGATACAAAAGATACATGGGAGTTTAGAAATAACACTCGACGTTTAAGTTTACGTGGATTATTTTATGGATTAATTTATATTTCTGTTATAATTGGTGGATTTAGTATTCTATAGGTACAAATTGATAATTAAGTGTCAACAAAGCAAAAGTGATCAAAGAGTAAGAAAAGAGTTGCAATTAGGAAAATCAAATCAAATTAGAAAAGAGGATCCCTCAACATCTTCTGTAGTGTCCACGAAGTCGAGCATAACTTTCTCATCCGGACTCCAAATCAACTGGTTCCGGCGGCATTAGAAAGCTTTTTTAGCGAGCTACAATTCCTGTCTAATGTCAAATTTCCAAATTCGGACTCGAACATAGTCAAAATTGGATTCCAAAAGAGATCATGAAAATACGTGCTACAGGACGAGGACACGAATGCGAATCAATAAACGTGCACAAAAACACTCGCTACAAAATATACGCACATAAGTAATAGTACAAAAGCACGCACAAAAGTACTCACGCAAAAGTGCATTCGCAAAAAGGATCGTGAAAACACAAACTACAATCCTAGGACATTAATACATACACACAAACACACTCGCTCACAAAAAAAATCAGCATGTGTCTCCCTCCAAAAAGAACAGAAATCAAGCTTCTAGCTCCCGAACCGCAAAGGGGGCAGCCCTCTCAACCCCCTCTCTATCACCTTCAGCCACTTCGGTGGCCAAGGATTTTCCCCTTAATCATGGGGTACACGGACGAGAGGGGTCAGGACTTTCGGCGGGTACGGATCCGATTACACCTACGTCGGCTGCCTTATTTTGCGAACACTATGTGACCAAGGTCCGGCCCACGGCCGATCAAAATTTGGCCGGCACGCCTCCTTTCAATCACCTTGCCATGATCCCTTATGAGCCCGTGAGCCCAGCCACGAGCATACGCCCAGCTGATCACGCTACTCCGGGCTCTATCACTGATGAACCTTCGGCCTCGTGGCGATCGAGCCTAATTGATGCTGAGCGTTGGCGTTTGCAGAATGCCGAACGTTGGCATGCGGAGGAGGCCCACCTTATTGGTAACTCATTCTTTGTCACATCTCGGAAATCTTCAGATGGGTCGCATTCCCCCTCTTCTTGATGTCGGGTAAATTCTTGGTTTGGAATGCAAGGGGGGTAAAGAATAAGGCGACCCAATCCCACTTGCGCTTTATTTGTCGCCAACATAGAGTTAATTTATTGGTTATTTCTGAACCTATGACTGAGTTTGTGCATGATTACTATTGCCGTCGCTTGGGTTTCGTTGCTGGTTTGTCTAATTGTGCGGGGAAGATTTGGATTTTTTGGGATCACAATTTTCGAGTCGAGTTGCTTAGGGATGAGGTACAATTATTGCATGTCAGATGCATATCTGGTTTATTTGGTGCTCCTTTTGTATTTACTGCGGTCTATGCTAGATGCTCTCGTTCCGAGCGCCGTGTTTTGTGGAATTCGTTCCGCGACATTTTTGAGACGATTGGTGACACTCCTTGGATTTCTGGGGGTGACTTCAACTCAATCTTACTTGAGTCAGAACGGAATAGATCGGTTTCGGATAGGAGACTAGATATGGCTGAGTTTGGTGCTATGGTTTCGGATTGTGAACTTTCGGATGCCGGGTTCTCTGGGGCTAGTTCTTGCTATACTTGGGAGAGCCCTTCAGGTCTTTTGGAGCGTTTGGACAGGATTCTATATAACTCTGCTTGGCTAGATTTACTGCCTATTACGCAGGTTACCCACCTCTCACGGACCTGGTCGGATCATGCTCCTCTTTTGGTTTCATCGGCTGCTTCTTCGTCTAGGCCTCCTGCTTCATTCCGGTTTCAGCATATGTGGATCCGCCACGCTACGTTTCGTCAGATTGTGGAACAGGTTTGGGATTTTCCGTGTGCTCAGACGGGGATACATCGATTACATACGAAGTTGAGACGATTGAAACAGAAGCTTCAGTGGTGGAATTGGAATGTTTTCGGGGACGTGTTCAAGAATAAAGAGAGGGCCGAGGCAGCTGTTCTAGAGGCCGAGCACATATATGACTTGGATCGATCCCCCGAGAATCGTGCAAATTTGAAAAAGGCCACTGCTGAACTTACTCTCATGCTCAATATTGAGGAAGACTTTTGGAAGCAAAAGGCAGCTTGTAGATGGGCGACTGATGGAGAGAGAAACTCTAAGTTTTTCCACTCATTAGTCAAGAAAAAGCGATGTGTCAATCGAATCCACTCTATCTCTCATGGTGATTCGGTTCTCACATCAGCTCAGGAGATCAAGGATTCGGGCGTTGATTTCTTTAGCAAGCTTCTTACCGATGATATGCCTAGTTTGCTTCCGGTTGATGAGTCCCTATTTTCCGCTCCTCAAAGGGACTTTTCTTCAGTCCCTACTCGTCCGTCGGTTGAGGAGATCAAAGATGCGGTGTTTGGGATTTGTCGAGATAGTGCTTCGGGTCCTGATGGGTATTCTTCGCTATTTTATCAGCATTGTTGGGACTTGATTCAGTGTGATGTTTGTGAAGCGGTTTGGGATTTCTTCGAGGGTGGATCTATGCCTGCGAGCTTCACCGCTACCACCTTGGTTCTTATTCCAAAGGTGGACTTTCCGACGGCTTGGACAGATTTCCGCCCGATTAGCTTGTGCAACGTGACCAATAAAATTATCACCAAGGTACTTACGAACAGACTTGCACCTCACTTGCCACACATTATTTCTCCTTCTCAGAGTGGGTTTGTTCAGGGTCGCCTCATTAGTGATAATATTTTATTAGCACAAGAGATGGTCCACTCGATATCAGTTCGTTGTCGAAATCCGAATCTTATTTTGAAGCTGGATATGGCAAAGGCTTATGATAGGGTTCAGTGGCGGTTCTTATTTCGTGTACTCGAGCTGATGGGTTTCTCGGCGAACTTGGTTGATATTATTCGGCGATGTGTTTCGTCGTGCCAGTTCTCTTTACTAATCAACGGGGAGCTGACGGGTTATTTCACTTCGTCTCGTGGTCTAAGGCAGGGAGATCCGCTCTCGCCGACTCTTTTTGTACTTGCGGCTGAGTATTTTTCGAGAGGTCTCGATGCACTATACAGCCGTTGCCCAAGCATGTTTTATTCT